GTAACAACCATCACCACCAACGCATACGGATAATATTATCATGTATTTTACTCTCGGGTACTGTATTCGGAAAATCCCTTCCATTTCATTTTTATTAAAGCCAAAATGTAATAATATGAAGAAAAAAAACAGGGAAAGTGGGGTTGCGAAAAAATGATCAAATTAAAATGATTCATTCATACAATATTGGTTTAGCTGGCTGGCTGGCTGTTTGTATTTTATAGATTTTATTTTGAGATACAGAAACCTACGAATGGATCGTCCCGTAAGTTTTCTAGTCCAAAAACCGATGAAAATTTCCGATTTAGCTTAAAAAATCAGTGAAAGTGAATGATGTTTTTTTGGATGTGTTTGATGTGATGATCAACCAAGCAGAAACAGCCTTAGCCAAGTATATTTGTTTTGTTTTTTGGCCATCTAAATTTGAAGTGTTGATGACGACGACTATGTTGTTGAATTTTAAATTTTTGTTTTCTTTTCACAACAACGACAGTGAACATCTCCTCCTGGATCTTTTCTTGGTCAAACGTCTATGAGCAACAAACAGAGGAAAGAAAAAATGTAATAATGGTGATCATCAAACTGATTCTGAATCTACCACTGGAATATGATTTACCACCAATGGTGAACAAAAATGAAATGAAAAAAATGAAAAATCCAGTCACAGTTGTAATTTTGAAACAAAAAAATTTCAAACAAAATGGATTTCATGATGAACTTATTCTAGCTCTCTTAATACACACTAGGCGTTAAGATAAACTATGGGAATAATTTATGGAAAACAAACTTAACCGAAAAACAATAATGTGTTTTTGGTTTATTGGAAATGAGAATTTTTTTTCAAAATTAAAAATTGGGATTCTTTTAACGATTCTTTAGTGTCCAAATGGTTGTCCTTGGTTTTTATTCTTGTTGCCAGAGAAATAGAGAGAAAATAAAAACTTTTATTTTTTCAGCTTCGTTTCGTTGTTGTTGTTGACATTGTAACAAGCAAAATTCTTTAGTTCTTGGTTCTTTAGCATCATTGTCGTCGTTGCTCTAAATCCAAAGAACATGAAAACTTTTTCTGTTCAATTCTGCATTCTGTATGATACTTTTGATCGTATTAAAACTTGAAAGAGAAATATTCGCTGTTTGCTTAGCCATTTTCTCATTGTGATTCCAGAAAAAAAAACTTTTCATTTTAAAGAAAAATATTTCAGAAAAAAAACCGTTTTTTCTTCAATATAATTTCAGATTTGACAAATTTTGTTGTTTTCTTTGGAAACAGATTTTTTTCAAATCACATCATCCATAATATCGATTATCGTCGTTGTTGTTGTTGTTGTTCCAGTTTCAGTTTGTTTCTTCCAAAAAAAAAAAAAAAAAAAAAAAATCAGAATCATTTGTCATCCGCGATATTATCATCG